TGTATGTGAGATGTCTTAGCAAAAACAATCAAAATACAAGATCATAGTCCCTCGATGACGCTTTGAATCTTGCCTTACAAATGATCTTAGTCCCTCAAAAAGAAATGCTAAGATATCTCACAACATTGCTATCATGACTATACGATGACCCACGCTCGTCCCTTCACATCCAATGATGGGGCTTCTTACCAAATCATTGATAAGATAACAACATATAAAGGAGGAGGAAATGAACACAAAAGACTTTTTGAGTAGGTAGATTTCTCCTAGTTGCTCGCTTGCTCACAACAAAAACATTTTATACACCAACCCTTTCATCTTGAAATATTTTCAAAAGACAACACTTTGTATGTATTCTTATAGAGACGAGAATCATTACAAAGACACTTTTTCAAAATCACTTTAAAAAACAAACACTTCTTTGAACTATTTTCCAAACAACACTTTGTATGCGTTCTTATAGAGACGAGAATCATTACAAAGGCACATTTTTAAAATACTTTCAAAACCACACCACAAAGCACACTTTCAAACAAAAGCAAGTGATCTAGCAAGCAACTAAGAGTCCATAGATAATTATGGATGAAAGGGTGCTAACACCTCCCCTTTTCATAATCTATCCCCCGAACTCAAGAAAATAATCTCGAAAGGTATTTCCTGTTCTTTTCAGCCTTTCCTTATTGGATAAAAGAAAAGTCGATGGCGACTCTTGCTATCCGCAACAATTGCGACCAAACGCAAAATATCTCAAGTCAGTTCTCCCACCGCGTTACAAGCGCTTATGAGGTGAAACTATGTAGGATAAAACCATTGCATGAGGCCCATAATGCCCGAACGAGGGTTTGCCATGTTTGAACCGTTTTATGTTATCTTGTTTGTATTTCTTTATACAGGGAGAATTAGTGAAAACCAAGGCCACCATTGAACTCACAAGGATGAAATTAGGGGGATAAGGTCCCTTTGGATCACTAACAATTGTTATTTTGCAGGATACAAAAATGAACTCACCGGAGAAGACGATCAGAGCTAGGGCTCCGACGCTTCTCCGGTCCCTCTAATAATGTTTATGTTATATTTATTTTGTTTGGTTTAATTCACGGATGTATAGCCACCCTAGTTGCAGAAGCGCGCGCTAAGGCATTAATATACAAGGGCGTGGGTTCGATCCCTGCCTTTTGCAGTTTTTTTAAATATATTTTTCCAATTTGTGCAGATTTTATATATTATGTGCAACACATCCCTTTCTAACACCAACAATAGCGTGACGCAGTGGTGAAGGGAGTATTCTTTGAAGTCAGGGGCGTGAGTTCAACATCCATCCCATACAACTATTTTTCTTCTTATTTTCACTAACCCATTTTTCTTTTCTTTTCAATTATTAACCCTAATTTCCTTAATAACCCTATTTTTTCCTTAACCAACATTTAACCAAAATTAATTCTTTTAAAAAACCCTAATCATATTAGGTTTAGTTTTTTTTAATAAATTAATTTTGATTTTATTTATTTATTAAATGATTAGATTAATTAGTATTTTTCTTAATTAATTTAAATTAATTAGACTTTAGGTTTTTTAAATTAATTAGACTTAGGTTTTTTTTAATTAACATTCAAACATTTTTTATTTTACATTTAAATTCTTAGAGGAATTGTACAGGCCGCGAGATTTTCTCTTGTAATAGCTTAGTTTATTTTTCCCCCGTATTTTTCTATTATGTAATTGCTTACAGGATGTAATAATCTAGGGTTTAATTTCTGCATTTTATTTTCCGCATTCTTATGTAACTGCCACAAAGTCTTGTAATAGTTTTATGTTTACATTCTGCTTTTACTTTTTTATGATGTTAGTAATTAGGTGTGTATGGCAAGATAAAAACAATCTATAACATAACCATAAATGCAAGATAAAATAACTGAATTGAATCACTATTCACACGCATACCTCTAGGGTAATCTCTCTTCGTTTCCTTTCGAAACATGGTCATGCCCCTCGAAAATAGGGATACTTTTGCAAAGTCCCTTCGAATAAAAGATCATAGTCCCTCGATGATCCTTCGATGTTGTCTACGAACAAATGATCTAGTCCCTCCGATAATTGTTAAAGTATCCTTATCAGTTGCCTTCGATGACCATACGATGACCATTCGATTGTCCCTTCACATCCAATAGATAGGGCTACCTACCAACTCATGATACAAATAACACTATCTCTAAAGGAGAAGGAAAATAATGAGAACGACCTTTAGTGGGTAAGTAACTCTTAATCGCTTGCTCACAACTCTTTTCTAAAAAAACATTTTTTCACATCACACTTTTCAAATAAAATATTTTCAAACACTTTGTACACGTTCTTGAGGACTGATACAGAAACCATTAAAAAGATAACCGTACTTTGGATTTTTCAAAATATTTTTCAAACTACTGACACAAAGAAAGCAATTTTCAAAAGTGAGCTAACGATTAAGAGCCCGTATATAACTACGGATGAAAAGGGTGCTAACACCTTTCCTTTTCATATCTTACCTCCCGAACTCAAAGTCTTCAAGGTCTTTCCTGTTTTTTCACCCTTTCCTTATTGGTTAAAAGAAAAATCGGTGACGACTCTAGCTATCCGCACATTTGCCATAAAACGCAAAAGTCAGTTCTCCCATCGTATTACAGGAGGCTTTGATTCTATCAATCCTCTAATGAGTTTTCATTATTCTTTGGTCCAAGATTATCATTCAATCATCATTGATCATACTTTGTGACACTAACCATTAACAATTAACTTTACTTTATACTTTTAATATTATGCTTTTATTTTATGTCATTTACTTTTAGCATTTACATTTCATGCAACTTGTTTATGATTCCGCTTTTTTCCTTTTGCCCACTTGGGTATTGTTTATGCTTTTGCCTTTTCTTTTGTCCACTTGGACTTCTTATTTTATTCTTAAAACATTAATAATCTAACTTGAACATTAAAAGACTTAAGGTTCTTTATGGACTATTGGTTACTATCTTTGGCATATTAGAGTTGTGGGCCTCTTGGACTTAGGATTAGAAGCTTTGATACTTAGAGACTTTGAAACCTTTGGACCTATTCTGTTTTGTTATTCTGTTTGTGTATTGAGAAATCTTCTGTGTGCAAGTGTTGTTATGTTGACCTTAAGTTATCTATATGATACATGACTCAATATTGAAGACCTTGATTTGGCTTTTAAATACCTTGGATTTCTTTGATACTTCCTTACTTGTGGTTTACTTTCATATGGTGATTGGTATGCTCGTGGTCTATTTGGTCCTCGTGGTTTTAATCTAAAGGATGAGAATTCTATGTTGACTTCGTTATATCAAGCGTAGGCTTCTTGTTTGGTTAGACTTTTCTTTACCTTACCTTTTACTTTATACTTTAGGATAGTCTCTTCATATCCTCTCATCTTCTTTAATTTTCAAAATCTTCTCTCCTTTTCAAAGGATTCTTGTTTTCAAACTTGAACCGCTTTCATAATAAACTTGGACTTAAGTCCATGCATTTTTCAAAACTCTTTTCTTAATCAAGCCATCCATCAATCTTAATCAAGATATGACTTCTTTCTTCAATACTTAAAAAAATACAAAACAAATTCAAATCATTTTGCCGTTTTGGCTTTTTCACTTTAAAAACTTTTTCTTTAAAATTAACCAACACGCAAACTTTCAAACTTTTTACCCGAACTACATGGATTTTGATTTCAATATTACACATTGTTGATATGTAGGTCTAGAGTTCATTGGAAGCTTTATCAAATAAAAAATTGTAAAATACACTTCTCTTCTCATCTCCATAATCTATTTTGTAAATATTTGTTTTTAGCAAAATACACAGATTTTTAAAGAGGTTCATGCAGAGTACCGTAGATGTTTAAGGTGCTAACACTTTCCCTTTACATAATCAACCCCCATTACCTTGATCTCTATCTTATTTTGAATTTTATTCGCTATTTTTCTCATTCCTTTGGAACAACAAAGTGCGATGACGACTTTCACTTTGTGAGTTAAATCAATCAATGACTTAATCTCAACATTTTACTGCTACACTAGCAAAACACAAAATTGATAATGATGCGGCTTACAAGTATTTTGTAAAACCTCCTGTTGAAATCATCACTCTCTTACTAACGGATGTTAATGAGACTTTATCTTTTTGATAATTTTTTTCTCTTCCTTTTCTCACTTCTAACCAGTTTTTTTATGCTATCATCAATTGACTCAAAATCTTTTAAATTTATAATCTTAATTAACAATTATTTTAGTCGTTTTCCAAAATCATGAAGAAGTATGAAACAGGTAGACTTGAGCATAGAGCCTGTTAAACTTGAGTTTTTTTAGTTGCATTTTTTCTCAACTTGAACATTGGACTAAGGACGCTTTAACTTTTTGCTTAATAAAAACATTTGAACTAAGAACTTTTAAAAGAACATATTGTTCTGTTCAGAGGCGGAAATGTGACAGAATTGTTTAACTATGAATTATTTTTTTTAAATATGTTTGATCAAAATGAGTGTATCAATTCAAGAGTAGCTTCAAAAACATAAGGGAGCACTAGCAGTGAACAACTCCTATCTTAATGAGGTTTTTATAGGGTTTGTAGGAAAACTGAAAAATATAAGGAACATGAGTGTAAGATTCTAGACATGCTCTATACATTAGATGGAGTTCGGATTTTGGAATCCTAACACTTCAAGGATATAAACAGTCGCCTGAAAGGATATAATGAATTATCCGGCGTCTTCGTAAAATCATTTGTGTAAAATAAGTCAGTAGATGCACACAAGAAATATAATGAATTGATAAAAAAGTATAGCAGATTGCAACAGTATAATACTAAAATTTTGAGAAAATTTATAAATTCCCAAACAGACACAACATTTCTAACTTAATGATCAGTTCTGGACTACAGTATAAGGTCTAAAAATGTCAACTTTTCGCTAATGTTGTGTACATGAAACTTGTTTTGAATCAGGGTCAGCTCCAGTTTTAAACTCGGGGGCCGAGTTTGGGACACCCTTGGGCAAGAGGCAGATCCACGTTTTTCCAATTTCTGAAAGTTTTAGGTACCATCTTATCAACATATAGTGTTCCATCCAAGTGATCACACTCATGCTGTAAAATCCGAGCCTGCCATCCAGAAGCCTTTATTTTGATTGGCTTGCCATAATGATCAAAACCAACAACCTCAACATCAAGATACCGCTCTACCAAAGCTTGATATCGATCAACACTGCAAAATGGTATTACCGATGATGTTAATGGAACTTGTATATAAGTAGTTATCCAGACATTATTACCATATAATTTTTAAAGCAAAAAAATATGGAGTAAGCCAGAATTACCTTTTTTTAAAAATCATGACAATGCTAAAATCAATCAATGTTACATACACTTCTAATAATGCGCTATTGACAACATAGATTAAGAAAGGCACAATTCGTAAATATAAATTTTGCAGACCTCAAGCAGCCTTCAAAAAAGAAGGCAGTCCTATTGCTCTTGTTCTTTAGCTTGGGGTTCAGAATCACCTGCCTCATTCAAGAGAACTACTAAATGAATATGAATTATTCAAGTAACAAATCTCATATACAAAACAAAACTATAAAAATGTGATACATACCAAAAGATCAAAAGGTCTTCTATCTTGTAATTTGGTCTCCTCCTCTGTGTTATAACTAATATATTCTTCTTTATCTTCCAAAACAATTATCTGCATAAACAAACAAAAACAAACATGTTTATAGTCCAACAACAACCTATGTAGCACATACACTTCACACTATTAAAAGGTAGCACGTAAGGTGTTTGTGTTAATGCTTCATTCACAACAAGAACAAAAAACAAATATGAACACATTTAGAGAGGAAAATTGCTTCATACCCTTAAGGGGATACCAATTTGTGGAGCAGCAAGACCAACTCCAGGGGCTTTTCTCATGACACGAATCATGTCATCGATTATATTCTGAATTTTATCTGATTTAATCTCATTTGGATCAACCTCACGTGCAGGCTCGTGTAGAACTGGTTCTCCGGCTTTTACAATGTTGGGCAATTTGTTCACTCTTTTGTTCCACCCTAGGAATGTTGTTTCTGAAGAAGGTGATGATGATGAACTAAACCTCAAATATCTGGTGTTACAGCTAGAAGATGAGGGTGTAACGGTGGTGTTTGAGGGCATCAGCATCGGAATGACGCGCAAACGCGACACCACCCGCCGCGCCGCTGCCATCACTATTATGCGAGGGGTAAAGCGGGTGGTTTAGCTCTATTATGGAAAACGGTGTAAATGTTAACGTTCTGGTTTCTTATCAAAATTATATTGATTTCAATACTATTATTCAGAGAGCTAGTGGCATGTATGTGTATCCTAAAAGCAATAAAAAATTCTTAGTTGTAACTTCATTAATAATATGGCTTGAAGATCTAACATTATTCAATGGCTCTTATTTGAATTTTTTTTTAAATAATTTTTTTTATTTTAAAAATTACTAAATAATTATATTTTCAAAAAATTTATCAAAGTAATTACTTTTCAAACAAAAAAAATTCGTCACACAGAGGAGGCGCCATTCTGTGTGGCGCATGGATATAAATTAAAGAGGAGGCGCTACATTATATGGTTTATCCTCCTCTGTAAAGTTATGCAGTGTGGCGCATGCATGCAATATTAGAGAGGAGACGCCACCTAGTGTGGTTTGACAATTGTATGTGGTTTTCTATAAATACAACCACCCATCTTATTCATTTTTTCACACCATTTCTCACATCACACTTAGAAAATGTCTTTCACTCCCTTGCCAAGGTTTTCACTGATCAAAAGAGATGCGCATGTTATTTTTTCGGTGACAAAGCCTCCGATGAAGATCAAACTCTAGAACACGCAGATGTTCGAGCATTTTCAGAGACACTTGATTCCCTGGTTGGATGGAGACATTCCTGAAGGTGAACAAATCAGAAAAATAGAAAGGCAAATTACAGTGAGAAACGAAAATGGAGTAAGTCGATCATGGAAAAAGGTGAGATGCGACGCTGATGTCATGATGATGATGCTTGGACCAGACGATATTATGTTGATGGTTTTTATCTCTTAGATATTATGATGTGTTTAGTTGTTTTGTCTGTTTATCATGTTGTTGTGTTGTTGTCCTGAGTTTGTGGTGTTGTAATTTTGTGGATCATTATGTGAAGGTTGTTGTAATCGAATGATAAATTGAACACGAAATGAAACCCAAATTTAAATTGAAATTTCTTGCGTACAACAAATTAATTACTCCGAAAAGTTTGCTATAAAAAATTAGGTTGCAGAGCTAGACCCAATATTCGGACAATTTTTTCGATTATGTCCGGGAAGACGACATGTACTGCATAATCTTATCATTTTGTTGGTCGTATCCATTTCAGTTCTAATACGAGTTCTATTGAGGTACCCTTTTTTCTTCCATCACATTTGTTCATTGTGCCAAATAATGCCCCCTTGATAAGCAGGCCAATAATCCTCATTTGCCAACATGGAGAAGGTATTGATGTACACACTTAAAACGCTTTTTACTGTGTAAACGGGGGATATATGTTGTATTGGGTCCAAGCGAACGTGCGAACATGCCACTATGACATGAGAGCAAGGCATGCGAAATGCTTGAAATTTTCCTCAATCACACCAACCTTTATCTAGTTTGACCCGGTAATATCCCCTTGGCCTCCCCTTATTATGATCCATTGTCTCTTGTACACCGAACCAACCTTTAATCCTTTAATACGGTCAAACACGACGATACTATGGGTGTTTGCTTTGGAAGCCTCCTCGTTAAATGATTTCATTGTGCATTCACTGAACAACTGCCTTGATTTTAACATTGCCCTCCATTTTAAACTTCTTGTGTCGAACAATGACCCCATCCTAAAATATGTTGCTCTAACCAAAGCAGTAATTGGTAGGTTTCGGATGCCTTTGCAGACAGATTTTAATGATTCCACCAAATTTATTGTCATGTGGCCCCATCGTTGACCATTGTCAAATTCCCGAGTCCACTTCTCCACTGGAATATTATCGATCCACCTTAATGCTTCTGAGTTTGTCAACCGGATTTCTTCACGATAGTGCCGGAATGATGGTTTTGTTAAGGCATACCATGCATTAACAAGTTTCTTTCAAAGTGTCTTGTCTTTGATATGCAACATGAAGTTTTATGTGATATGTCTAATACAATAGAAATGTGTTGAAGGGGGATCCTGCCAACCGTTATCAGGGTTATTGTATGCACTCACAATCGATGGATGTCTATCTGAAATCAAACAAAGGTTGGGTTGAGGAGCAACGTGTGATAGAAGATTCTTCAGAAAGAAATTCTGTGCACCACCTATCTCACCTTCAACTAGATAGAAGGCAATTGGAAAAACATTATTGTTGCCATCTTGTGCCACTGCTATGAGTAATGTTCCTTTATACTTTCCTTATAACCAAGTTCCATCAATCTATATAATAGGTTTTCAAAATGGAAAACCTTTGATGCATGGTTCATACACCCAGAACAATCGATGAAATATTCCATTTCCACTGACACGAGTTCTGTCTGGGGTAAATATCGGGAGTGTCTCCAAAATTATAACAGTTCCTGGAGCATAATATTTGAGTGCCACCAAAAATCTTGGAAGTCCTTTGTACGATTCCTCTCACTTACCGTACACAAGTTTAACTGCCTTAGTCCTCGCGATCCATGGCTTCCTGTAAGAGTGAGTATAATTGAATCTTGTAACGATATGAGAAATAATTGTACTCACCTTTAATGATGGATCCTTGCTAATAAGAGGCAAGATTTCTTGACATATTAGTTGAGAGCTAAGTTTCCGATGATCATGTGTCGGAATGGTGGTGATGCACGTGTGGAGTGGATCAATGGTACATATTTCCCATGAATCACTTCTCTTCTTGTAAGATGCATTTAAACGAAAAGGGAAAATTGGTTTTTGAAGACATAAAATAATGTACCTCCCTGAATTAGTTTGATCTATACTGAAATCAGCTAAAATTTCCATGTGGTATTTTTTTGATAGCTCTAACACACTCTTCTTTTGTACGAAATTTGTCTCCAACTTTCAAGGCCCCTTCGGTCTGCATATAAGGATTGTAAAAGATATATGAGGCTGGTTTGTCTTCCTCTAAATTCAAGTTCGTCATGTGAAACCGAGGGTCATACACATTACTCATAGGTAGAGGTTCATGCTCTTGATCAGCAACGTCATCATTGACCATAAAATCAATCATTGCCTCATCATCATCTTCTTATTGGTCAATTACATCGACTTCAGGATGGTTGTCCTCATCAGATTCATCCTCTTCTTCAAAATCTTGAGAAGGATCTATCACCTGAGATTGGTCAGGTTGTTGTAATAAAACATACAACTCAATCTCATTGAACCCGAATTGTTCATGAGTTCAAAACATGTTTCGAACATCATCATCGTCGCGCATCTTTAGTTGATAAAATATGACTTGGTTGTTTTCAAATAGAAATGGAGACTTGTAAAGAATTTGGTAAACTGGACCACACTGCAATTTGGCTTCTAGTCTATCTTTGAAGCGTGCAAAACTTGATTTGTTGTTTGTTCGAAAATGGATAAAACTGATATTACAAAAATTAAAATCGAATTTATCGCAGTTAAACGTATCATCGTTAATATGACCAACAATAGTATAATATTGTGAATGATCCATCTGTTGAGGTATGTTTTTTGTGAGTTATGGATGTATACCAGTAATGCGCCCTAAACAAATGCTTAAATAGACTGATGAAAGTATAGGGTGTATACCACTAATGCGCCGCCTAGGGTGTCTTGTCCTCTTTATTTTGTAAGCATGTGCCATATAGGGTGGATTTTCCTCTTTATTTTGCAAGAATGTGCCACCTAGGGTGGCTTGTCCTCTTTATTTTGCAAGCATGCGCCACCTAGGGTGGCTTGTCACGTGAACAACAAGTTTGCATGCATGCCATCTGATCATTGCTACGCTGCAACTTTTCATGCATACAAAAAGTAACAAGCCATGTTGAATGACGCCTTAGTGTATAAAACAAAAGCATGCGCCACCTAGTGTGGCGCCTATGTGTATCTTGCATGCAAAGCTTTGTCACGTGAATGCATAGTGTTCATCAATATTTTCTTATAAATGCATATAATATTCACCCTATATGTTCATCATAGTCATACCTCACACACTATTTCTTTCTTGAAACATCAACAAGAACACAAGAGTAATCAAGAAAAAATGGCTCTCTAGACCATGGGTGATCAACATAGAGGAACTCTCAACAACATTGAAACCTTTGTAAGTTTATTTTCTTCAATACCTATTATTTATCGACAAATTTTATTTTCGTAATTCTTATGATTGTTATACGTAAATCTTATATTTCTTATACATAATTCATGTTTTTAAAAGGATGTTAAAAGATTTTGTTATCGTGTCCATGAGTATGTCCCTTACGACGTACAAATTGAATCGTACTTATGACATGCCGGTTTTGGTCCGTTACTCAACATAATCAATTACCATGTTGACTATAAAATTATTCTCACATTAGTGGAGAGTTGGAGACCCGAAACTCACACCTTTCATCTTCCATGTGGTGAATGTATGGTCACACTAGAGGACATGTATATATTATTTGGTTTACTAATCGATGGTAAGGCTGCCAATGGCCGAGTCAACCAAGACAACACCATACGCGAGGAACTTTTGGGAGTATCTTTATTTGAACAAGGGTATAGAGGCAAATGTATTAATCTCCATCTTCTTAGAGAATATCATAGTAGTCTCATAATAACCGAAAACTCTACCGAGCAAGAAAAAATTGTGAAAGCTCAGTGTTACAGAATGATATTATTTGACCACTTTTTATTTCCTGAAACAACGGGTAATACTGTTAATATCATGTATTTACCCTTGTTAAGACAATTTGGTAAAATAAACACATATATTTGGGGCTTAACACTAGTTAATTAAGTTTAATATTAATTAAGGTTAATTAAGTTTAATATTAATATTAGCTTAACACTATTTTTACTCTACAGTTTGTATGGAGGCCGTATAAGGATCTCAACCATGAGATTAACCCAGTTGATGCTGAAGTCTGGACTACAAAAACAACACTCATTAGGTTCACTACTGTGGAGATGTACCACAATGATCGTGTGAAGCTACAGTTTGGCATACGACAGGGTATCCCAGACCCC